TTCCGGTTCGAACCGGAACAAGTAGGGAGGGGGGGGGAGGGAAGGTGGAAGGAATAGAAAAAAAAAAAAAAAAGATTAAAATTAATCGTTACCGCAACCCCATTTTCGGTTTATTAGTTTCCTTTCGTTGGCCGTATAAAATGATTAATCATCGCCCATTCGATGGGTTAATTAATTGAAAACTTGAATCTATCGACGTCATATCTCATCATTAATCCCTTCCTCCCTATAACGTATAACATCGGATCGTTGTTATAAGTTGGACGGTTCCTATTTCGTTACGTTATCTCTCTCTCTCTCTCTCTCTCTCTCTCTCTCTCTTGGTTCGAAACGAGAAATAATAATGAAAGTAACGATAAAAGTTAACGATTCGATCAGATCGGGAGATATAGCAATCAAAATCGCGCCAGGTTGTGGCAGGCTGATTAAATCGCGAGCAGATTGGAGTTTACGTTCGGTAATTGCGAAACGACTTCTTGCCAGGCCCGGTTCTCTCCTCCTCGGCGTAATTAGTTCGTCGAAGTATCGGTAATGCGATTCCGGGCATTTAAAATGCCACGTTTATCGCGATAAATCCATCGAGGGATCAGAATCGATGGAGGATTAATATTTTATTAAACGAATCGACGATAATATTCCCTCGAATACGATTGGAACGAGTTTCCATAGGGACAAAATCGCGGGGATTCCTTTCAACCCCTCTCCCCAACTCCTGGAAGAACGCCATAATTTCGAATATAATCGAAAAGTTCGCCGTGGGAGGGAAGTTGTGGGCGACTCGATTCGCCTCCGACGAATTCTTTCCCGAATGGCCGGCTCCCTTCTTCCTGCTTATTTATGCATCCACGGAAACGACGGAAACTGGGTTGTTGACTGCGCTGCATCCACGTTAGAATCCACGTGGCACGATTTAATTCGTTCGAGGGGCAACGTTTATCTTGGAAAGGAAAAACTGCCGCTCGCATGTGTTAAACTTGGGCCAACATTATTGCAAAATGGCAGGAAGTAATTTGATAGTTTGAAACATTGTTACCAGATCGTTCTCGGAATATCTCATTTCCGATGTATTCGAGAGTTCTCGAATAATAATGTGTTGGTCCCCAACAATGTTGAAAAGCTCGTTTAATTCGCATCCGGAATAACGCATCATTCGTATTTTCTATTCGTTCCCTTCTTAAGATATAATTCGCAAATATTCGAAATTCGTAATTTCGATTTGGGACTAAAGAGTTCGTTCTAACAGAAAAATGTTTATTTGACAGATTTAAATTTTCATTTTTACGATTTGCAATATACATTATATAATTTCTATAAAATATTACAATAATTGTTATTTTAATTATATTTTAGGAGTATTATAATCGAGTTGTAAAGTTGTACTTTGATGATATTGAATTTAAACAAGGATCATTTTTATTATATATATTTTCTTTAATTTTACGAATGAACATTCAATATAATACATAGATGCTATACATAGTATAATATATAGTTATCATATATCTAACGCATGTACATTGCGTTGAGCGTATAATCGTCTTATTATTAAACTAGACGTCTGACCACATGCGATCCTGAATTACTTAACCGCCTGTCTATAGTAAACGCGATATAATTTACGAACATAGCTATTATAACCGTTTCTATTATTAACTGTTATCAAATTCGACGGAACATTTGATAATCAGATAATTAGATTAATTTATTCTGTAAATAAAAATTCGATTTAAATTAAGTTTCGAATGATGAAAAAAAATCGTGGAGAAAAATTTTAAAAAGGAGTTCAATAGGTATAGATAGTGAAGCGTTCAAGAGATGTTGAACGTTTGAGACGATACGAGAGATGATATTATAGTCGATTTGACCGCTTTGATGTGAAACGCTTTGACTGGACCGCGTATTTGAAATTTATGACATCGGCTTCGGCGAGTATTTGACCAATGATAAGCAGTGGTTGATTTCATCAGATCTTCAGACTCAAAGCCGTCCTCGGTGAATATATTTGTCAAGTAAATCGCGCGCGATATCGTTTCTCGTCCAATATTGAAAAGAAGATTATGATCTAATAAAAATTTTCCTCGTATCCTATTTTCGATTCGATTAATTTTCGATTATTCTGTAAATAAAAATTGCATGGAATATGATTCCATTAATGAAAAAATTGAACGTTTGTAAAAATTTACATTACAGAAGGAAATAAAAGATTTTAACAAACTTATCCTGAAAGTTATTACGATTAAAATCTTGCATTTATACTTATACGTTGCAAATTGAAATTTTGAACGAGAAATTTTTATAAATAGAATCGCAATTTTAAATCATGAAATACTTTCGCATTGCGACACATTGTTCATGACGAAATAAAAATTAGCATCTTTACGTAGACATTTTACGTAATCTACAATAAAACACAAGGGGACCGTTTCATTTTATTATTATTTCCCTTCCTTTTTTACCTTCATAAAGAGAGATCTAGGTTTAACAGCCGGAGAGAATATTCAACAGTTTCAGCTTTAAAATTGCTGAAAATTTGATTCAATTTTTGTACGCATCAATAAAAATTATTCCAATTCTCCTTTTTACGAATTAAATTATTTTATTTTCATTGCGAGAAAAACAATTCATCGTTTCGATTTGTCTTTCAGATCTCATATGATACAATTCTGCTTCGATATTCGATATCATGGTGTCAATATTCAGACGCAATTTCGCGCCAAGTCTCGCGTAACGCACAGTATAGGAAGATACGAGGGATTATAAAGGGTTAACTGTCACCGGCTCTTTTCTTGCTCGATGGAAACTTAGTTTATAAACTGTGGCGCGATTAACTCGCACAATCAACGCGTGCAAAGCCAACTGGCAGAAGCCAGGTAAATGGAAAACGAGGTACCAACTTCTAACGTTTAATACCTAGCATTTCATACCTAACAAAGCCTGGATTTCCGCGAGTTTGTAATTGGGAATAAAACTAAAAACAAATTCTCTTCTTCGCGTGAAAATTACAACAATTGTTTATCGAACATTCCTGAAGTATACTTGTTGTCCTAATATTAATATTAATATTAAGGAATATATTAATCTCTAGATGAATAAATAATTAAATGTTAAAGGTAACTATGTCTAAACAATTTCGTTAATCTAACTAATTATAAATTAAAATCCACAATGACAGGTATTTAATGAATTTAGACAATTATTAGAATATTACATTTTATTCGAGATATATATTTACATCTTACAAATTACATATTCTTATATATCTAACACGCGTGCAATTAAATTAACTGTTCTTCACCAAAGGCTCGTATTTTCCTCTTCGTTCTCTGTTTTTATTTTAAAAAGACGATCCGTCAATTAATTAACTTGTCGAGGGACAACGATAAAAGGAATAACTTTAATAACACCGTTTGCCCCCTCAAAGACTCTTGAATTCAGTCACGGACTCGAATCGAAGTTTAGCCTGAAGATTCTTCGTGTGAAACTTTTGCAGTATCATCGCCCCGTAAAACTTCTCGAGATCGTCGACCGTTCGATGCAACGAGGCTTCCCTGGCAGTTAGCAAAAGAGAATTCCACGGTGTCCACTCCTCGCCCTTCCTAAATCTAACCAATTTCAACTCTTCCAAACAATCGTTCCCGGAAATCGCCGATCTCCCGTGCCAGATCTCGTTCACTAAATGGTAAACGATCTTCGCATCGATAGCGAAGGCAAGGCTCCCGTAACAGCGCATTTTAATTTCGTGCCGTCTGATATCTCGAAGCAATCTCCGATAAGGTTGGTACACGAGTCGTGGGTCGGTTCGTGCCCTCGCGTGCAAACAGTACTCGCACGAAAAGGAACGTTGTCTCTGAAATTTTTCCACGGTCACCAGTCTGCCGCAACTTCTGCACGTGGTTCTGCAACCAGATTGGAACCAACCTCGCATCGAACCCTCCTGCTCCTTCCTCAGACACTCCCTGGCCAACCTCAAAAAAGCCATGTCAAGGGCGCTCCTCAACCAATTCAACTTGCTCCCCTTCACTCCGCGAGTGAGAAAATATATCTCCTGGTCCAACAAACGCATCAACTCGTCCGATTCCTTGCACGTGTGAGTCTCCACATCCTTCCTCAACTCGGTCACCGCGTTCAATCGTTCGTCGACGTTCGAGTTCTTCCTCGACAAGCGTTCGAACGTGTCCCGAAAGCGTCTCGCCTTCTGCGCGAGGATAGTGTCCACGGAAATCGTTTCCCCTCGGCCATTTTTCCAAACGACGGGCGCGCACATCTCGTCGAGAAACTTTCTGTAAGATTTCTCCCTCCTCTCCGACTTCACCTTAGTTTTCATCGAGTCTATGGCCCGCAGCAACTCCACCTCCTTGGACAGGATCAGACCACCGTAGGCGATCCTGGCCGACTTGTACAGATGCTCGCTCGCCCTCCTCGTCTCGTCGATGCGCCAACGATCGAGCAGATTGTACAGCAGCTCGAAGTCAGCCCTCGTACTCGGCGGCACGCGGTTTAGTATCACGAAATCTTGGCTGCGATAGTGGTGCCTCGGCTCCAACTCGTTCGCGTCCTCAGCGAGGGGTGAAACGCGGCCGCCCGACGAGATCATCGCGGTTTGCCGAGCGCGGTAATCTCTGCGGACATCGTCGAGCGAACGTTTGAACAGGTGTTGTTGCAGCGTGATTCTGTTTCGTAGGGATTGCCTTCCTTCGAGTGATTTTTCATCGAAGCGAGAAAATCGGGTCGGGTTGAATCCGGTGGAGGTTCAGGAAGAGGTTCAGGAAGAGAGAGGATTGTGTTGGAAATATTTCGCTCGAGTTCAGGAAGTTCAGCGCTAAGTACTTAAGTATGTAAGTTTGGGGAAAGGGAGGGATTGTAAAATTATTTAAGTTGATCGAAGTAATAATTCGAGGGGGTTGGGAGAGGTTTTAATTGATCTATATTATGTTAAATTATTGTAGCTCGGACGGGAAAGTTTTAAAGCACTTCCCTTTGACCTACTTGAAGCAACACGGACAAATTTTCCACGCCTCTACTAGCGCCGAGTTTTAAGCGCTACCACCCTTCCCTTGGAAGTTGGGTCACGATTAAAACCGACTGATTTTAATCAACCATGGACGTATTTCAATGAAGATACGAGAAAACCTCGCCCTTCCTCTAAAGAATTTTATTACTTTATCTTGAGATGCTCACCTGTAAAACCTCTGTATCTTTACGACGCTCTCCAGCGTCTTCTCGTTTGGGACATCGTTGAGATTTGTCTTCTTGGAAGGGCTGGCTACGATTTTGTCGTGGATGTCGGGGAAGAAATACGCCTGTACACCCACGTCCCGCCCCGTGTTTGTAAATTTATCCGTCGTGAGACCCGTCTGCGTACACGCGTTGCGATAAACGATCCCGGTTACTTTGCTCCTCCACCCAACCAGGGCTGGTGGTTTCGTTGTCGTGGCCGGTGTTGGGCTCTCCATTTGGAAGTTCGGTTCA